GAGAATGAGTCTAACACCCAAGACGAGTAGCCACAATCAGTGAACCACATTGGGCAAGTTTTGTGGAGTCATTAAAGCAGCCTATCTTGTCTCAGCTATTTTATTATATAATAATATTTATAGTATCAACTAATGATAGTTTTGAAGTTTAGTTTTTGTCTTTTAACTTTTATAAGATATATAAACTATGTATAGAAAATGATACAGTATATATAAAAATACTTAATTTGCAACTCAAGTTGGTCTGAGGCTCCTAGGGTAATCAAACACTTTGGACCACCAAGACTCATGATAGCTCTACCAATGACACTAATAATAACATTGTGAGATCTTTCACAGTAGCTCTAAAACCAGGAACAAGAGTTCCATCATTAGATCCTGAGCCAAGACCATTAGCACTGCTTTCACTTCTACCAATACAACATTGTGAGAACTTGAGGCAGCTCTAGGAACAAGAAATTCCACTTGCAACACTAATGTTATAGGATTTTCATTAATATTTACATTAGCTGCCAATTTCTGGTGTGAATAAATTATTAAATTAAACTATTAACTCTATAAAATCTAATATAATAGTATGGTCACATTACCATTAAATTAGCTTAACACAATACATGTCCCTCGAATGCACCTAAATGCACCTGAAGAGCAACCCATAGTATTGAAAATGACAAGGTGACACAATGTTATGCATAGGCATCTTGTTGAACAATTCCATTGTTTGTTCCATTCTGGGTATTTGCAACAAGAATTATATTCGATGAGACTAGTCCTTCCAGTCATCATTCGAACAACTTCTTTGTGCACCATGTTTAGGAAACCACGAGAATGGGCCTCTAAATCTGCTTGTCATTCATGGTAGCGCTACCAGCCTTTTCCGATAAGCCACAACCAATCCAGTGTCACTCCTACAGTGACACCCGCAAGTATGAAGACCACCAAGATGTTGCCCAATGCATTTTGCTCCGGCTTCTGTACATAATATCAGAGGTCATAGAGAAAAATCGCACGAGCAAACACACACACACCTTGTAACCATTTGGCGCGGCGACGAGAACAGACGTGGTCAAATGCCCGTTGCTCAAGCCCAAAAGGATGCACAACATGATCATCCAGCCTTGATCGCCAAACTTGGCTGTCAAATAGAACGCAGGGAGGAATAAGTATCTGGCAATCACTGCTACCAACATTTGGGTTCTCGACTTGAGCTTGAGAGCTGGTACGAGGGGCAAATATCGTCCAGTAAGATCTCCAAAGTTGTACATGGCGATAAGAACCACAACATACCTAGGAAAAAAGAAAACTATATGAAAACCGCCAAGAAGGAACTGCTTACCAGGATCCTAAGCTGTGCTTCCCAGTATCCTCGGCCAGAAATCCTGGAAAGATTGACAGCGTGAGCACAAAAATTGCAGCAGCATCAAATGCATAGTCCAAGTTCTGCGTAAGCAGCTGAAAATTGGACAGCCTAGTAGTTGGACATTCTTCTGCATCCTGCATGCAGCACCAGCCACCAATTGTAAGTTGTAAGTTGGATAATTACCTTTTAATCCGACTACCTTGTCTACGTGAATGCCTGCGGCTGCGAGATCAGCACCAACTGTGGTTGCACCCTCCAATGCAGCGGCTTTTCTATAGTTCTTGATGGTTTCCAGCTTTGGAAAAACTACGGCATACAGTAGTAGGCACAAGAGCTGGAAAGACGTAGAAAGGAAGAAGAAAACAACTGTAGAAACGATCACACTAGTTGATTTGCAGGACAAGCGTTTGCAAACTTACGTGCTCCTTTACGAAGCCCGCCCTTGGTGCTGGCAAAGCATGCCTTCGTTACAAGCCTCAAACCAGAAGTGGCAGCACCAGAAGCACCAGCTCCAGCAGAAAATGACTGCATGAGATGCCGATTAGCATGAACAATATAAAGTCTCAGTACCTGAAGAAGATGAGGGTGCATGTAAGAAAGATCTCCAACAAGTCCACCTTGCACGAGGCCATCGCATAGACCGAATAACATGCATAAGGCACACAGACCTGTATAAGGTGCGAGCCCTCCTCCGCCATGACTAGCCAAATCTATCTGCAAACTTCATTGTGAATTAGTCGATCAGCAGAAAGAATCTACTCACAATGGGAACCATCAAGGAAGAGACAAAATACAGTGAGAAGCCCAGGAGAACTCGGAAGCGGGTATCCACCCTGGCTTCGTGGTACGCTAGAACCGCTACAGTGAAGAAAGCAGAGGCTTGGTATATCAGTGTCAGGACTCGAGAAGGATGGTATGCCTGAAAAAAAACTTGCCAATTGGTATGCTGAAGAATGTTTTTCAGACTCACCGGAAACACAACCAAATAGTAGTCCATGACAGTAACTATGCTGTTCCAGGGGAACAAGAGGCCAAGCCCAAAAAGCATACAGATTACATAGCTCACAGTAGACTGTTTTCCCTGAAAAATCACGAGTTTGTCCATGTGAACTGATCCCCATTACCTGTTTCAGATGATCTTCCATGCCGCTGCTTCTGGCTCTGCTGAAATATCAAAATACGGATCGAAACAAGCGAGCCTTGTCATTTTGTTTGACTAGACTGTGACACGTTTCTGTCCATAAATCAGATGATTTATGGGTTTCCGTCCGTCGCTGTCACTGCTGGTAGCTTCAGCACGTCTGTTTTCTAACTACAATTCTGTGTGGGGTTTTCAAAACCGCGAAATCAACAAACCCAAGGCATAAGTCGGCTAGCCGCAGTCAAGACGACGTCTTGGGGTTAACCTTGTAGCATCTTCAATCAACAGATGGGAAAATCCGGTTGGTATTGCCATCCGTAAGGAGCACAACTACACGGCAATCATAATTAGCTTATGAAGCAAAATTTTTTACAAGGAGATTTCTGTTCAGCTTACCTGAGAAATTGGTGCGATGACCAATCTCCGTTGAGAAATGCGTCCTGCTGATCCTGTTTCTGGATTTTGCAGATAGGAAATCGAAACAGAATGGAGCAAGGGAAGACACTATAACTGCTGCTGATCATGGCTCAAAGAATCTTGGAGCTCAAAGCAGTGACCTCGGAGATTGGAGGATGATTCGGTGTAAGCATTGTATCACCGGATTCATGCTGTTATAAATGTCGAGATTGAAACTGAATGAGCAGCTTGCGAAGGAAAAAACCTTATTTTTAGTATGCATTATCGTAACTTAATATCTTATTCACTAGAATGTAATCCGTGGCTAGAAAGCTAGTTGCCAGGGTACTTCAGCCACGTAAGATGGAACCGCAAGCAGAGGAAACCCCCAATTCCTTGCTGCACACACTATTTAAGATGAAATGGATGAAAATTTAACGAAACCAACGAACACAGGTACGCAAACAGCATGTATACACTTACATTCATGGTAGAGACTTGAGGAGATCAAGGTCGGCCTAGGGATCACTCTCCACGAGTGATGAGCTTATCGACTCAGTTTTGCTCCTCATTGTTTCTCCACATGTTCGTCAATGCTCTCGTCCTCGCAAAGTGTCATGTAGCACGTTACTTGGCACCATCCAAAGAAAACATCATCACCAGCAATCCAAATCTTTGGTAGGTACTCGAACCCTTGTTATCCAGAGCTATTATATTCTTGGTTATGGACTTTCAATCACTCATGGGATCATTTAAGTCAGTGGTTTTCTAAAAAGCAAGGGGTGTGTAAGCGTAGTAGAAAATTAGGACCAGTGAGACGAAGCGGTGGCTGTGTAATGGCTTTGATTGCAGTTGGTCTCTGAAAGAAAATTCTTGAAGTCAGAATCCAAGCTCAATTCATCTAACAATGCCACTACCAAGAAGATTATTTCAAATGTCAGTCCCTCCCAAGCATGGAGGAACACACTACTTGTGTACTTCTTTACCTCAAGAATTTTATAGCTTCTAACTTGGTGCATGGCGTGTGCTCGAAACTGCTCTTGACCACAAATGAGCTCAACCATATAAATCTCTGTATCATGAATCATCGAGCTTCTCTCTCCACCGAAACTGATCCGGTAGAGCAAGTCCATCAGCATATAACTGGCGGCGGCTACTCCTCACATGTCCCTCTCTCTTCCTCAAAATCACACTTCCTCACCACGATCTCTTGTGCTGCTCCCTCCTGCGCCAGCAGCTGCTCAATGTACGCCACCTCAAACCTGAAGAGATTCACGCAGCAATTCGGTTCCCAAACCTTAATCTCAATCTCGCGATGTTACTCCTTTGCACCCTCGATCCGCTTTCACAAGGTCTCGGTGCGTTTTCTCATCCCTGTCGTCTAAGTGATGCCACCATAGGGGCCATCTAAACTATGGATGGGATAGGGATCATAATAGTCATCGATCACCTCTGGTCTCTACCTCTGGCCTTGCAGGCTTGATCCCACAAGCGACACTACCTTGCAAAACAGAAAGGACGACCTTGTTGTTACATGTTGCATCAGCTTCACAGAAGTCAAAGAAGGAAGCACTTGCTACAAGCAACACTACAAATATTTTCATCACTACCATTCTTCAATGCTTTAGATGTTGCGCATGGTTCTTATATAGTGGAGATACGTTTCATGAACATTGTGAATGGCAGCAACCAACAAACAACAAATTCTAGTGTTGACTGGCAAGCAGACCATGCTTTGACTACTAGTCAAGCACGGCATGCTTGCCACTCAATATTAAAGCATATTCTTGGACTACTAGTCAAGCACGGCGTGTTTACAAATATTAACTGTATGAGTTTGACCGGCAGACAATTGGTCACATCACCTAGAACAAATATGTGACTTTTGTTGGACCAGCAGCGAAAAAAATTGGACTCTTTGATGTCGCATTCAAGATATAAAGTCTGGTGATCTTCAAATTTCTAGTATCCTGACAAGAAAAATATGTTTTCTCACTAGGGCATTGTATTTCTCTTCGCACTTGGCATGAATCTGTCTGCTGAGATATGATTAGATGATTTTGAAATGAAACTCTTAAGGTGTTCTTTCTTTTGTATAAGATCATGGACGTGGAAATTCTACTGGAGTTCAAGCAAGGCATGTTGCAAAGCAATTCTACCTTTTCTAACTGGCATGAAGGAAGCAAGGATGGGATTTGCAGCTGGAGAGGCATTAGTTGCAATTCTGAACGCCAAGTAGTGTCCATACATCTATCCTCTGTGGATCTTGATGAAGCCTTGGTGGGAACTCTCACGCCAAGGCTTGGGCAGCTTTCATATCTTTCAGAGCTGGATCTATCGCTTAACAAAATAACGGGGCAAATTCCTACCACTCTCGGCAATTGCTCCTCACTCACAAAGCTCAACTTGGGAGGGAACCAATTGACTGGCCATACCGGCAACATTAGGCCAGCTCCAGAATCTCACTGAGATCTCGCTATCTGATAATGTCTTGAGCGGGTCTATTCCATCGAGTGTTGGGAACTGCTCCAAGCTGCGGGTCCTCGATCTGGCACAAAACAACTTAACAGGCTCTATATCTCCATCACTGGGTAAGCTAAAAAAACTGGAAAAATTATCACTAGTTACAAACAATTTGGAGGGGCTTATACCAATCACTCTTGGAAACCTTTCGCGCCCCACAGAATTAGACATGTCTTGGAACCGTCTATGTGGCCCATTACCTGACTCTTTTGATGGTCTTCGTAGGCTAGAGAGGTTCATACTATCGTGAAACTATCTGAACGGATCGATTCCTTCAGATATGATGGTGGGCATGACATATTTAAAGCACCTAGAGCTACAACTTTACAGGAAACATTCCCATGTTTAATGCGTCTTCTCCCGTTGTGGAATGCTTCCTGTCAGACTGTTAACGTCCAAGCGATCTTCTCCCGTTGTGCTGCTTCGCTTGGACGTTAACAGTCTGACAGGAAGCATTCCGCATTCAATCACAGCGCTCAAAACTCTCCAGCAATTCATGGAAGCATTCCAAAAGGCATTAGTCTTGAGAGACTTGACTTGAGTAAGGAAGTTCCTCCACTCAACAAATGTACCAAGCTTGGCTATCTCGACCTCCACGGAAACCCAATATGGAGCAGACTGCCAACGTTTGGTGCATGCACTAACCTGGTTTACTTGGATCTCTCAACGAACAAGTTCCAGGGAGAGATTAGCTCAAGGCTAGAAAATTGCTCCCAGCGCAAGGTTGTCAACTTTGCGCAGAACAATTTCACGGGTGAGGTGTGGCTGGACGTGAGTAACTTAACAAGCTTGGTCTTCTTTGTCATTTCCAACAACACGTTGAGTGGCACCATTCCAGTCAAAAGCTTGAGTTCCACTTACCTACTATAGTTGATTAGACCATAGTAGGAACCATTTCACAGGCGAGATCCCTCAAGAAATTTGCAGCTTATGATGTTTGGCCAGATTCCAGCTTGCATCACCAATCTCATTTGGCTCCAAAATCTGTCAAACAATAAGCTCACAGGGCAGCTGCCAGGCAACCTTTGGAAGTTTCATGGTTTCAAGGGCAACGGATTTGAATCTTGGCATTTACACAGGGGTTCGGTTGAGCCTGGTCATCATAGTCAACGGCGTAAGGGTACAGTTTGATCGGACAACCATCGTTGCAAACAACATGACTTCATTGGGCATCTCAAGCAACTCTCTCAACGGTGAAGAAATTGGGCAACTGGTTGGACTAATGTATCTCAACCTCTCGCACAACCAGTTCACCGGTGCCATACCTCTCAATCTTTCCAGCTTGAAAAAGCTTCAGTCTCTTGACTTGTCGTGGAACATGCTCCAAGGCAGGATCCCAAACGAGTTTGGGGAATTGCCTTTGTCAGCCTTTAATGTTTCATTCAACAACTTAAGCAGATTGGTCCCAACTGCTTACAATATCAACACTCGATCACTTGCATTCCAAGGCAATAAGACTTCCTCTGCCACGAAGCTTTGTGGGCATTTGGCTGCGGTGTGTTTATTGGCTTTTGGGTCACATTTTTAGGCATCACGTGGGACATCCTTCAAATTCGGAAGTATAAGCTTCGAGCAAAGGACATATATTAGCCTCATCATTACTTTTCCTCCATCATTTCTTCCTCGTCTTGACAGTTCTTAAAAAATGCTAACTTGTCGCCAATTCCACATGGCTACTTTACTTTGATCAAAGTCTCTCTCTTCCTTAAGAGGGCCACTTTCCACTGCATTGTGCAGCCAACACGAAGCTATCCTGACCTGGAGCATATCTCCAAGGCTAATCCCTTCATTATCTATGATCAACGACTTCATGGAGTTCAATTGCCTGTGTCTGGGTTTGCTTTTGTAACGCACTACTTGACTAACTTTTGTCAGTTTTTTTTCTCGTTTTTAATTCACCACGACCTAATCAGCTTTTGTTCTGCTACACTTGCCAAGTGCTTTTGTAAGTCTCATGGGAGCAGCAGCGTTCGTCCAAGAACTCTTCCTCTTTCATTGGCATTCCACGGATCATGTCGGCATGGAAGGACATTATGCTTCTACAGCTCATGGTGACTATGTATGTTCTCAAGCCTCATGGAAGTGTTTGTGCCACAGAATCACAATGCCGTGATGATAAAGTTTTCAAAGTCAATTTGTATCATCTTTGATGGCATTTCGCTGCTTCAGCTCTCGTTACTTCTTGTGTTCCCAACAATGTTCCTGCCTCTGTGTTTGTTCGTCACCACCAGTGGCAGTGAAAACCTTGTCAGCCAGTCCAAACTATGGGAACATTACTTTTCAGTTCCTTTGTTGATGGTAAGGAAGTGCAATATCCTATGCTGTTATTGAGAGAAAAGCTCTATACACTAACTATTAGTATATGGAATGAACAGGATGAAGAGCAACCATAACTTCACTTAATAAGAAATTTATTATGTTTGGTTCAGTTTTGTGCATACATCTTTTGTGCTGTATGCACAAAAGTGACTCTCTTACACTCTAACTATATATGAAAGATAGATTTTTCTTTTTATATTTAATATAAAGCTAATATCTCATTTTTACTTATAATGTTTTTAAATATAATGCTTAAAAGTGAAAAGATACCAACATTATTGATTTCAAAATATTTTAAATTTTTATATTACAATTAACCTTTATATGTTTAATTTTTTGGTTTGCTTAAGCAAACCTGTTGGGATATATCTAGAATATACTTGGATATTCTAGGATATTGTACTATTTAATGGTTGTTATTAATTTAGATTATTCTTTCATTTATAATAAACTTCCATTTGATGAATTGAATTAATAAATAAAAATAACATTACTATTAAAAAAACCAAGTGCAATGCACAGAAAATTATTTTAAAGGTTGAGATTATCCTCTCAATGAACTAAACTAAATTTAAGTGGTATCTAACAAATATCAACAATAATCACCAATTGAAAAAAGAGAGATACACTTAAATATAAAATATACTATATAAAATATTGCTCAAATATTAGTACTTAAAAACATATTTTAATGTGGTTTAAACTTTAAATATAAACAAAAATCATTATGTCTTTATTAGTTTTATACTTATTAATTTAATATCAAATTATAAATTTCACACCCGTAAGATATAATGTGGGTTTAGATTTTCATATAACTATGGGAGTAAGTTTCACTTTATTAAGGTCTATATTTAAGTTTAATCTGAGTATAGTTTTTCAATTATTGATGTATATAAGCATAAGTAATATTGATAGCATACCAAATAGCATTATTCTAAATGTAAAAGATAAAGATAAATTCTGATGAAATACTTGAATAATTATTACTTTTGAAATTCTCCATTTATAGATTTTTTAAAATTACCTAATTAAGCCAAGTAGCCCTAATTGAAAGGATCTCACCTACCGCCCACGTGTCCACCATCCCAAGCTCCAATGCACTGCCACGCGTCGGTCTTGCAAGGGCCCACATGCACGCATGCAGACGGAGACAAGTGGCCCCAATGGGCTTGGTCCGGGATCACACGTGGCAGGCCCTGGTTGCTCCGGAGCGAGGTTTCACGCACACATACACGGCGGCTTAAAAAATAACCAGTCTTTTTGGCCGCGCTCTCTCTACGTTTCACAAGCTCACCTCGCCTACAAGGGGAGAAGGAATTTTTTTTAGCTCTAGCGATTTCTCTTGTAAGGTTTCGGTGGCGTTGGGTTCAAGCTAGGAATTGTTTTGGTAGCTAGCTAGCGATCGATTGTTCTTGGGGAAGAAGAGAGATGGGGAGATCCATGGATCCGCTGGTGCTAGGGCGAGTGATCGGCGACGTGCTGGATATGTTCGTTCCGGCCGTGGATATGAGCGTTTGCTATGGTAGCAAACAAGTCAACAATGGCTGCGAGCTCAAGCCTTCAGCCACTCAAGCTCGCCCCATTGTCCAAGTTGGATCTCCTCACGAGGAAGGCGCGCTCTACACTCTCGTAATCAATCTCACCTCCATAGCTACCGTCTTCTCTTCTTTCGATCTCTTCCCCATAGCTAGAGAACTTGATGCTACCACCCTTTGTTCTTAAACAGGTGATGGTCGACCCGGATGCTCCGAGTCCCAGCGAGCCATCAATGCGAGAATGGGTGCACTGGTTAGTTCCAAAGCTTCCATTTTTGCTTCTCCTTCGATATGAATCTGGAGTTTTCTACCCAGGATCGTCGCGGACATCCCCGGTGGAGCCGACGCTAGCCAAGGTATGATCACTCCTTGCATTGTCACGTAAGTTCCAGCTTGGTTTTCTCTCTTGTTCGCTGCTCCATCTCCAGGGAGAGAGATCCTCCAGTACATCGGCCCCAAGCCCCCGACTGGAATCCATAGGTACATCTTCGTGGTCTTCCGGCAAATGGGACCAGTTCTCATGCTTCCACCGCTCATGAGGAACAACTTCAGCACTCGTTGGTTCGCGCAGGAGTACTTCCTGGGACTTCCAGTCGGCGCAGTCTACTACAATGCGCAGAAGGAGCCAGCCAGCCGGAGGAGAACCTGATCTTGGCCCGAGCTTTCTTTCTCTAGTCGGCATCTCTCGAGAAACAGCAGCGAGGGAGGAGAGCTCGTCGAAAAAAACCGCTGCTTTCATCACCAACTTGTTCACTGCACTGATACCACTGCGGAAAGATCGTCCTCTTCACAGAACTGCTGATTTCCTTCTCTCCTCCTTTTCCTTTTTCTCCTGTTCCCAGATCTTTTGCAGTGGTATGGCCTCCCCACCCCGGAAGCAGCTCGAGAATAAATCCTGAGCAGAATCGCTGGAAAAAAAATGAGTGTGAGACGACCCGAGAAAAGAGAGACAATATCAAATCTTCCGTAGAGTTCCCAGAGGAGGACGATGGTCCATGGAAGAATATTATAATTGTTAAGATGGATGGAGAGAGAGATGGACCTGCCTGTAAAGTAATGATAAATAGGTGTCAAAAGCTTTCACGGATCTTGTTAGACGTTATCAAATCAAAATGTGACGCACTAGTTTGTCCGAAAAAATCGTACTTCTCTACGTGTAGAGAGACATTGTTGTTGGGATCTCGATGACTGACTGTTGGACCAGCAAAGCCTTGTATTCGTGTCTCCCCGATAGTAACTATCGAGCTTTCCCTACGAGAACAAAAATGGAGTCAGCACTCGCGGAACAGTGGCCGAGAAAAAGAAGTCCCACCTTTTTTGCTGGACGAACAGGTGTTGCTGTTCTTCCGGGAATCTCTTATGTATCCACTACTCTCGAGGAGAGACCGTGCGGCATTGTTGATGTGCTTGAATCTGTCCGGACCGAGTAGGATCCCTCCAAACCACCTCGAGACCACCACCACCTTGCATAAAATCAATCAGTGGAAGCTTTGGTGGGTTGGAATCTCCGTGGGGAACAAGGAAAGCAAAAGCTGCAGTTATAGCTTACCACGTCAATGGCGCCTACGATCTGGAGGAGATGCAATAGCCGGTTTCCAGCAGCGGTTTCTCCATCGTCGTCATAGTCTTGAAGTACCTGACACGGCAAGGCGAGAGAAAGAAGTTAGCAATCCCTTGACAAACACCGAAGTTATCGCAGTTATCGCCAAGGGTCACGTCAACTTTACAGTGTTTTTGTCGGGAAGAACGATGCGAAAGGCCATTATGTTGTGAGTTGCCCCTGAAATCTTCCTGTTTCGCAGAAGTGCTTCCATTACCGTCTCCACCTCATCGGCCGAGTGGACGGGCGCCAGGTGCGCTTGGAAAGTACCTGATAGTCACGACAACTATCTCAGCAACGCAATCAACGAAACAACAACGACGCTCGTATATTTTATAATCACGTACTCTTCTTCTCTGTGAAGGGACACCCGTGAATAATGCCATGGAGTTTGTCCAGTTCCTCCACGTTGAGCTCAGCCGGAACATCCTCGGGCTTTTCAAACCTGCGCGCGCAGCACACTACAGAAAATTAAAAGAGATTCCGCAGGAAACGAAAAACGAGATTTACGGCTGGAATAACTGAGCTGCTGCAGTCCCCGAATCGTTTACTGGCAAGAAAGAAAAAAAGAGAGACAAAACTCAAGACAAAAGCTTGCTTTGGCTGGAAAAATAGCGTACCTGTCTCTTTAGTACTTGCAGCAAGTGCCGTCCGTTTCTCGCAATTCCATAGCCAGTGTTGTTCCTACAACCAGAGAGGAAGACGTAAGCTACGACATAGATTCTTCTACCTACCTTCATCCACTCTATCCATTTGAAAACAATCACTTCTCCGTCACTGCTCGAGTACAACTCGTGAAATCCACTGACAACTTTGTCGCGGTCCTGTTCCGACAGCCACGCGGCTTCAGCTTCAAAAGTCGGTTCACTGTGTGACGGATATTCGTCCGGGAAATAAACGCCAAGCTTCACAGCCAAACCTCCCGACTCTTCTTCACTCGGGTAGACAGAAATCTGCCAAAGAATACCAAGTTGGCCGGCTCAAAACCGCTCACCACGTTCATATGACAACCAAATACCTCACAGAAGTGTTCGTGCTCGTGAACAACGATATCCTCTCCATAAATGTAGCGGAGAGCTTCCAATTCTTCAGCTTGAGCTGCTCTGTTAGCTACACCACCACCCAAAACAAAACAAAGAGTCAGTCTCACACCAGAGAATGAAGCATCAAGCATACCTTGGACAGAAGCCGGATCCATGAAAAAGCCCTAGGAGAAAAGCAGCCAAGTCACCAGAAATCTCCACAGGAGCAGTGCCCGTCTCGAAAAGCATGGACACAACTTATGTCCTTGCAGACGACCAAACGGCCTCCTCCCCCTTGTCTGGAGATGGCGGCTAAAACGTCGTGACAATCGCCGCAAACTCTTCCACTCTTGGAGATCCGGATGTCTGTTCCAGCCGCTGTGTTTACCAGAGCACAACCAGCAGCAAATCTCTCGCTCTGCTCGCAAACTTGATCATCGTTCCTCGTCTTGTCACCCAGGAAAAGGCTCAACTTCGCGACGATCTCTTCCATTTGAGGATGCTCCATCTTCTTCTCTTTCTCCGAAGAAAATCTGTGAACTGTTCCAGCGGCATCGACCCATGACGAGCTCTGTCCCTGTGCTCGGCTCAAAGACTTCGTCGCCATCGCCTTTCGGACTGCTGCTCGCTGCTCCCACATCCCAGCCCCGGCGTAGATATTCGACATGAGCACGAAAGGCGATGGATCGCCATCCTCCTTCGGTACCGAGTCAAACGCAAGCTTGCCAACTTCTACGTTCTTCCACTTGAAACAAGCCCCCAGCACTGTAATCCACGCGACTTTGCTTGAATCGCGAGAGATTCTCTTGGCCATGCTCGCTGCCTCTTCCAGACGATTCGCTCGGCTCAGAAGATCCACCATGCTGGTGCAGTGCTCCACGCCGGGTTGGACACCATATCTAGAGTTCATTGTCTCAAAGAAGCTCTTGCCTTCCTCCACCAGGCCAGCATGGCTGTAGGACGCGAGAACACAGAGGAGAGTGACGCCGTTCACTGAGCCAACTTCTTTCTCTGCGCTGACCAAAAGTTCCAGGACTCGTTCATTGTCTCCGCAGCAGCTGTATCCCGCGATCAAGGCGTTCCAAGTTACCAAGTCCCTCGCCTCCAGCGAATCAAACACCTCTTGTGCATCGCTCATACTACCGCACTTGGCGTAGAAGTCCACGATCGAGGATGCCACCGTGGGATCATTGTCAAGTCCGGAGATGCGAGCCTCGACGTGAAACTTTCGACCGGTTTCCAAAGCCACCATCGCCGCACAGGCTTTGAACACCCCGACAATCGTCCTGGTGCCTGGCTTGAAGCCTTCGTGCTGCATGACCGAGAAGTACTTGAGAGCCGGTTCACACTCGTCGTTTTGTGCAAGTCCCAGTATCATGGAGTTCCAGGAGACTAGATCTCGCTCCAGCATCGCGTCAAACACTTCCCGAGCTCGCTGGATGTTGCCACACTTCGCGTACATATCCACGAGAGCATTCTCCACAAAAGCATTCGGGAGCTTCACTATCTTTGCGAGCTTAGAGTGAATTGCCGTACCTTTCTGCAAGACGAGGCTCTTCTTGAACTTCCCTTCCACACGCTTGCCTTCTCTCGCCGCGAGGCTACTGCAAGCACCAAGAGCGGCGACGAAAGCTGGAGCGTCTGGCCTGATCCCTTCCTCTTGCATGCGAGCAAACATCTGGAGAGCGAGCTCGCCATTCCCAGCTTGAGCAGTTCCGGATATCATACTCGTCCACGCGAGTGCGTCGCGACGATGCATCCTCTCAAACACCAGCCTTGCATCTTCCAAGCTCCCACATTTGACGTACATATCCACGAGCGAGCTCTCCAAGACCATGTCCGACTTGATCCCCAGCTTCTTGAGCTCGGTGTGGAGCGCTCTCCCTTTCTCCAGGCTCGCCAGAGCCACTTCTCCATGACTTCCACTCGTCTCCTTCACTGCCAAGCTCGCGCAAGCCTTGAGAACCGCCACGAAAGTTGTGCCATCGGGAATGAAGCCTTCCTCCTTCATCCGCGAGAACAAGGCGAGAGCGAGCTCGGCCTCGCCGCAGTTACAGTGGCCCATGATGATCGCAGTCCAGGAAACCACGTCGTGGAACTCCATTTTGTCGAAGACGAGCTTGGCATTCTCCAGGCTTCCACACTTGGAGTACATATCCACGAGACCGCTGGAGACGAACACGTCCCCGGAGTACTGGTTCTTGACGATCTCGGCATGGATCGCTGCTCCTCTTTCCAAAGTAGCCACCTTGACAAGCCTGCCACCTTCGACCACTGTCCCTTTCTCTCGAGCTGCGACCATGGAGCAGGCCTGGAGAGCTGCCAGATAAGTTCTCGCGTTTGGGAGAAGACCATCTTCCTGGATCCGCGAGAAGAGCTCGAGAGCTCCCTTGCCATCGCCGTTCTGGACGTAACCTTTGATCATGGTGTTCCACGAGATGGCGTCGCGGCACTGGATCCCATCGAAGACCTTGCGAGCATCCGCGACGAGGCCAAAGTGCGCGTAGCTGTCGATCAGAGTGTTGGCCACCGACACGTCTCGATCGTTTTTGGTGGCGACGAGATCGCTGTGGAGGCTCATGAGATCCCATCTCTCGCTGCAAGCCTTGATCGCGAGCACGATCACTGGCACGCACGGCCGGATCCCACACTGGCGCATTCTTCCATAGGTATCCCGCGCCTTCTCCCCCTCGAGCAGCCGCTTGGTCACGTACACGGGCTTGTCGGCTGTCCGGGACGGCGCCTTGAACCATTTGAGCGGCGCGAGCTGTGACAGGCGCTGCGTCGCTAGGATCGGCGATGGCCGGAAGACCGGCATTCGATCGAGAGAGAGGAGACTTACCGCGATGGCGATGGCGGCATTGCTCCTCCCAACAACCCTAGTTTTAGGGATTTGGCCCTCTCATATAATTTGCCAGAGTTGGGTATTTTGGACGAGCAAGCGTTTTACTTGACTAGATCCAAACGAGCAGTGTTACGTCGTTAGAACTAACTTGAAAAACATAAAGAAACAATTTAAAATAGATGATTGAAAGAAAGCTTTATAGATGCTAAACTAAAGCTTAAGAGGACAACTGGAACAGTGAAAAGTCGCACTTGCCCGGGAAAGGCATTTAAAGGTTTCATAATAAACACAACTTCTGCAAAAGCTGGTCGATGTGTACGATCAAATGGAAAACAACCAACTGGCTGGACAAGATTCTCGTGGATAAAGTGATGGTTCTATGGTTATAAGATCCGCATGGATCAATTCTCAGAGTGGGAAGAGACCTAAGAAATCATGAGATCCTTGCAAAGTTCTAGCGATTCTTCCTCCCCCAGTAGCAAGATCCATGTCGTGGTCGTTCCCCTGCCCGCGCAAGGCCATATGTCCCCAATGATCCATCTCTGCAAGCTCATCGCTCGAGATCCAAGCTTCACGATCTCCTTGGTCAATGTGGCTCGGCTTGACCACCGAGAAAGTAAGCTTGGGGAGTGGAGTCCCACGAGACTGTGTTCTCCACAGGAACAGCGTCAAACATTCGTTTCGCGTCCTCCACGCGCCCATTTGCCCCATAGGCCGTGACAATGGTATTCCACGAGAAGAGGTTCCACGGCGGCATCTTCCGAGACGGGGACTGCGAGAGTTCTATCCCCGCAATCTCGCCATAAGCCTGCACCATTCCATTCCAGGTCCTGTGAAGCATGGAATGAAACATACCGATCGCCTCGTCCATGCTCCCGTGGCGAATGCTCGAGGAGATGACGACGTTCCAGCAGAAAGCTTCCCAGTTGAGCACCTTTTCCAGAAGCTTTCTCGAGGAAGAAAGACGTCCTTTTTCCGCAAATAGAGCCACGAAGGCCGTCCAAGAAAGAACGTTCCTTTTCCGCATTCCTCCAAACACTTGGACCAGGCCCTGGAGCTCACCGTGCTGCGCATACGCATTGTGTTCCAGGAGGTGAGTGCCTTCTCCGTCATCATTGACTACGTCCGAGGAGTGAAGCCCCTCCGCCTGGCCGATGTGCCCGATTACATGCAGGGCGAGAAGGTGTGGAAGGAGATTTGCATCAAACGCTCCCCCGTCGTGAAGCGCGCGCGATGGGTCCTCGTCAATTCCTTCTACGACCTCGAGGCGCCCACCTTCGATTTCATGGCCAGCGAGCTCGGACCTAGATTTATCCCCGCGGGGCCACAGTTTTTGCTCGACGATTCCAGGAAGAATGTGGTGCTTCGCCCCGAGAACGAGGATTGCCTTGGCTGGATGGATGAGCAGGAGCCTGGATCGGTGCTCTACATCTCGTTTGGCAGCGTCGCGGTGCTGAGCGTGGAGCAATTCGAGGAGCTCGCGGGAGCTCTCGAGGCATCGAAGAAGCCATTCTTGTGGGTGATTCGACCTGAGCTGGTGGTGGGTGGTCACTCGAACGAATCTTACAATGGGTTTTGCGAGAGGACCAAGAACCAGGGATTCATCGTTTCCTGGGCGCCACAGCTGAGAGTTCTCGCCCATCCCTCCATGGGAGCGTTTCTCACGCACTGCGGATGGAATTCCGTCCAGGAGAGCATCGCTAATGGCATTCCAATGCTGGGGTGGCCTTACGGGGGCGAGCAAAGCACCAACTGTAAGTTCATAGTGGAGGACTGGAAGATCGGGGTTAGATTCTCCAAGACTGGTGCAGGGATTGATCGAGCGAGGAGAGATTGAGGCCGGCATAAAAAAGGTGATGGATAGCGAGGAGGGGAAGAAGATGAAGAAGAGAGTGGAGAACTTGAAGATCCTTGCGAGGAAAGCTATGGACAAAGAGAATAGGAAGTCGTTTCGTGGCCTCCAGGGATGGCTGGAAGATCTCAAAGCTATGACTGGAACAATGAAAAGTCACACTTGCCCGAATAAACACAACTTCTGCAAAAGCTGGTCGATGTGTACGATCAAATGGAAAACAACCAACTGGCTGGACAAGATTCTCGTGGATAAAGTGATGGTTCTATGGTTATAAGATCCGCATGGATCAATTCTCAGAGTGGGAAGAGACCTAAGAAATCATGAGATCCTTGCGAAGTTCTAGCGATTCTTCCTCCCCCAGTAGCAAGATCCATGTCGTGGTCGTTCCCCTGCCCGAGCAAGGCCATATGTCCCCAATGATCCATCTCTGCAAGCTCATCGCTCGAGATCCAAGCTTCACGATCTCCTTGGTCAATGTGGACAGCCTCCACGACGAGTTCGTCAAGCACTGGGTGGCGCCGGCGGGGCTGGAAGATCTGCGCCTCCATTCCATCCCATACTCGTGGCAGCTCCCGCTAGGAGCCGATGCCCACGCGCAGAGAAATCTGGCGGAATGGTTCACGGCATCCGCGCGAGAGCTCCCAGGCGGCCTCGAGGATTTGATCCGCAAGCTCGGGGAGGAGGGTGATCCGGTCAACTGCATCATCTCGGATTACTTCTGCGATTGGAGCCAGGATGTGGCGGATGTGTTTGGCATCCCCAGGATCATTCTTTGGTCAGGAACCGCGGCATGGACGAGCTTGGAGTACCACATTCCAGAGCTTCTGGAGAAGGATCACATATTTCCTAGCAGAGGTACGAATCTTTGAATTTACCATGAACATTAGTTCTTTTCCTCCTTCCCTTATTCAAATTTTGCCTGTTCTTCCCCGATTCGTGCGCAGGGAGAGCTTCCCCGGAGGAGGTCAATTCCGTGATCATCGACTACGTCCGAGGAGTCAAGCCGCTCCGCCTGGCCGATGTGCCCGATTACATGCAGGGCAACGAGGTGTGGAAGGAGATTTGCATCAAGCGCTCCCCCGTCGTGAAGCGCGCGCGATGGGTCCTCGTCAATTCCTTCTACGACCTCGAGGCGCCCACCTTCGATTTCATGGCCAGGGAGCTCGGGCCTCGATTCATCCCCGCGGGGCCACTGTTCTTGCTCGACGATTCCAGGAAGAATGTGGTGCTTCGCCCGGAGAACGAGGATTGCCTTGGCTGGATGGATGAGCAGGAGCCTGGATCGGTGCTCTACATCTCG